TATCTATCTTTAATTTTAATTATCAGGGGCTGCAGGAAGAGACCCAGTGATAAAGTGTCTAGAATGGCCTGGGTTTGATCCTAAGCATCTTAAAAATGTATTTGGCCTTGTAATGTAGTTGTATAATATGGGTTCTTAAGCCCTTAAGAAGCATAGTGTGAAGCATTTAATAATGATTTCTTTTGTCAGACATCCTGCCTTTAAATATTGCTGCTTCTGGGTTGTTTTGTTATTGGGGATCGAACTCAGAACCTTATGCTTGCCAGGCAGGCACTTATGCTTCTGAGCACCCTGGACCTGGTTCATCTGTATAATTGTGCATATGAGAGTTTCTGTACAGGTTAAAATTTTAAGCATTCTTACCCAGTGCTTTCAAATGATATATTTGCTTTGCAAAGTTGTCAACTTCCACCTTGTTGATGTTATCTAGGAAGCAAAAGAGCTGGGTTGTTGTTGTTTTGTTTCTTTGTTTTCGTTTCTGCTAGATGACGTTGGACATTACTGATTTTTAGGTTTCACCAGAGGCAGTTGATGAACCAAAGCCAAAATGAAGAGTTGTCTTCTCTTGTTCCTGTGGAAACAAGGGCTCCCCTCATACCTGACCATTCAAGCCCTGTTCAAGATTGCCTAATACTCCAGGAAAGTGGTAAGAAATTAATTCATCTTTAAAAAAAAAAAAAAAGAAAGAGTGGCTGGGGAGATGGCTCAGTGGAATAAGCGCTTTCCTGGCAAGCGCAAGGGCCTGAGTTCAATCCCCGGTTCTGCACAAAAAAAAAGAAAAAGAACGAACGAACAAACAGCCTGGGGATATAGCTCAGTGGCATAAGCGCTTTGACAAGTGCAAACAAACAAACAAACAGAAATTAATTCATCTTAAAGTGCCTGTAAGCAGGCGCAGAGGCCAGAGGTTTGATCCCCGGGCCTGCCATGCCGGCCCAGCCCCTGGGGTGCACTGAGACAGCAATTGAGACTGGGCTATAATCCCAGCTCTTGGGAGGTTGTAAATAGGCGGATCACTAGAGTCTGACCCTGAACACCCTGTTGTAGACCCTTCCCAAAAATACAAAAAAAGAAAAAAAAAAAAATTCATCTTTAATCACTTTGCTTCAACTAATTTAATTTGTTTGGTACCATAACAGAAAAATATATATATTCTTTTTTTTTTTTTTAATTT